AACTGGCTAATCAAACTATCCGTCTCTGCAGACGCCAGAGAATCCTGCCCGGACCAGTTTCCTGAATCCAGTCCATGTTATTATTTGTGAAAGCTTTTCAATAAACTCTGTTGAACTTTTTATCAGTCTCCAGTGGTGTTCTGCATGTGGGTTTAATCCCTAAACCAACCATGACACAATCCATGTTTTCACCCATGGCTGTAAAATTTACAGCAAATATATGAATACATTGTCAAATATATCACTATCCTCTCAAAATGACGTATGAAATTTACTTACAATACTAAGCCCAATGTAAGAATCTTTTTACTTTTTACTCACTTTTTGTGGACCTTACATACAGTATATTAAGTTTTAGGTCTAAGCTTAGAAAAACTTTTAGACCAGGCAGTTTTTTTTGACACGAACCCAAAAAAAAAAAAAAAAAAAAATGAATTTAAATTTATGGCTCCAAACAGAGCTGCAGTTGACGTTTAAAGTTGGTCTACACATACTGTTTTTTTGGTGTAATGTTAAAATCAGGTCTATTGCACACTGGCCACATGGTCTTTTTCTCTGCAAAAAAGATTAGCGTTCTCTAATAGAGCAGATGTAGGGTCAATTAGTACGTACTAAAATTCAGTAAAGCATTTAATTTAAGGGCAATATCTATCTTTTTCACTGTTTTTATTGGAGAAAGGTTTTGGCTAACCCTTTATCTCTAATAACCTTTTCACACTGCAATTTTTCACATCCATATAAAACTATTCAATGAAACATTTTGTGACTTGAGTTCAACAGACTATGCTTGATGGTGTAAAACCTTTTCAGCCATTCAGAGTTAGTTACCTTAAGTAGTAATACTCTAATAATCGTTATCCTGGAACCTGCCTCAACACAACATAAGACTGCAGCTTTAGAGCCACAAACAAATATTGTCGTACAATGGTTGTTTTTTATCTGACAAGTTGAAAAATACCAGCAATGAAACATTCATAAACCTAAAAATTATACTGGAATTGTTTTTACCTTACATAGATTGTCACTACTTTAAAGTACTTCCTTGAACGCTTATAATGTACATTTAAAATGTAGTTTAAATCAAAGGCAAAGTTCAAAGAATTTATGTTTTTAGAAAATTAGGTAATTTTTTCCTTATTCTTAAATGTGACACACTAGTGATTTTGTCACACATTTACGTTTGTGTTGCTTCTTTTTTCAGTTATGCCTAGGACAATATCCATCTGCCTCGCAATATTCAACAGAACGAACAGCAAATAGACAGCAATATTGGACTGTGACACCTATGTCATGACCAGAAATGCAATCCTCCTCTCTGGTGCTGTGCTTAAATCTGCAAGATTTCCTTCCTCCAGTGAAAATTTCGATCAAAGCCTGTCACATGCTTTCTGTTTGGCATTTTCATTAAATCTTTTTCACAATGCTTTCTCCATCCCTGATGAGAGGACAGATGCAGAGGGTGCATGTCTTTGGAAATTCATCAGTCCAGATCAAGATGTTCTGGATGATGAGATTATTTTGCTGTCTGCCTGCTTTGGACAGCAGTGAGTGGCATTTTTGATTCAAGCTGTTTTTTGAACACTACTGAGTAGAACTGCAATCAATTCACAGTTGATTTAGGTCACTTGGAAATAATACCGTTATTACCGTTAAGGTAGTCAAACTGGGATCAAAACTAATGTTCAGTGGAATAAAATCAATAACACTGTCAGTGGTTTTACTGTGCAAGTTTTAACTTCACTTACCTAATGCTGTAAAGAACGCTGCCATCTTGGAAAATCCGCAGCAGCTTGTTATCTGTTGTGACCTCGTGGAAATTGGCTCCTTTTTCATTTGCAAAGAAAAGATCAGGTTTCCAGATCGAGTCTAGCATGGATGGATCCAGATCCAGGGAGTCATCAGGGTATTCACTGTAAGCCAGCCTAGGGTCGTTCCACATTTGCCTTAGAAAAACATTGAGCCTGTAGTCCTGTAAAAGAACTCAAGGTCAACATATGGCAAGTGGAAGTTTGGTGAGGTGATGAGGAAATAAACGTTTCTGCTGTTGTAGGTTGATGAGATCTGAAAGTTAAAAAAAACGGAACGGTAGATGGATGGATGGATGGATGGATGGATGGATGGATGGATGGATGGATGGATGGATGGATGGATGGA